TCGTCGCTCAGCGTCACGCTCGGCGGATAGGCCTTTCCCGGCCTCACCAGCAGCGACCGCCCGGCGCCGCCGACGAAGTCGAGCGCGGCGCGCTCCACTGTCCGGTGCGTGCTCGGCAGCGCCGCCCAGCCGCGCGACGGGGACCGGTAGGGCATGCCGGACCCTGTGGCACGGCATATGCTGCTGGCCACGCCCGAGGCGACTGCGGCAGCCGAGGAGATGATGACCGAGCCCACCAGGTCGGCCGGCACGATGTCCCACACCCCGAGCGGCTGCGACGCGACAGACCCCAGGCAGTCGAACAGCCCTATCGCCATGGCCGCGCCGGCGCCGATGCAGCCGGCCCAGTTGCCAGCGTAGCCCGGGTAGGGCGCGCCGGCGATGGCGCTGACAAGGGAGGGGCGCACGATGGCCACCGGCAGCTGCAGCCGCGACTGAGGGGTTGTGAGGTGAGGGAAGGGGGGGAGCGAGAGGTGGTTGGGTGGGATGGAGCCGGCTGGGCGAGCGGCCGCATCAGAAGCAGGCGGGTTGCCCGATGCCCCTGTCCGCTACACGCACATGAGCACGGACGAGCACGCTCCGCCCCCCAAAACAGAACACCACCCTCTGAAGCGCCGCGTGCGTCCGCGACGCCCGTGGAAACTGCCCCGCGGCTGCCCACCTGGTACTTTGCGACCAGGTGCTCTGTGAGGTGCTTCCCCAGTGTGTACGTGTTTGGGAACCTCCACCGCTTCATGTACACGTTGGCCCGCATGTCGGCGTCCCCAGACGGCAGGCTCATGAGCTCCGCGGCTATGTCCTCCGCATCAACCACCTGGGATGCAGGGGAGCGTGGGGCGGATGGCGGGCGGCGGCAGCAGTGAACACAGGGCCCGGGGCGAGGCGGGACGCATGAGGGCGGCAAACCATGCGGCACAGACTTCCAGGGCAAGGGTTCGAGGAGCCAAGGTGTGAGGAGCCGAGGTTTGAAGCGCGGGCTGAGGAGCCGAGTCCAGCGCAGGGAGCCGCGACTCAGGCGCTTCTCCCTGCACCCGCATAACAGCGCCATCGGCCAGGCCGGCCGCGGCGCCCACCTGCTCCCCAAAGCGCAGCGGGTAGAGCTGCTCCGCCACGGTGCTGCTGCGCGGCCGGTTGACGTTGACGAAGCAGCTGCTGACGTGGACCAGCGCGCGCAGGTGCGCGCACGAGGCGGCCAGCTCCAGGATCGCGCGCGTGCCCTCAAAGTTGGCCTGAGGAGGTTAAAAAGAGGGCGGCGCGCCGGTCAGCCAAGGCGCTGCGTCGAGCGGCGGCCGCCTGCGCCACTGAGCGCCGCCGGGACAGACAGCGATGAACCCAGCAGCCCCGCCTCTTTCAGCAGCCGCGCGACCCAACCGTGCACAACAGCATGACCTTGCCCTGAGCCAAAGCGCAGCATGAAGAGCCCAGCACGGCGTGGGGGGCAAGGGTGTGCGTGCTCACCTGCAGCGTCTCCTGGATCGTCGGCTCGAGCCTGATGTCCGCGGCGCAGTGGATGATGACGTCAACGCTGCGCATCAGGCGCGCGCGGTCTGACTGAGACAGGCCGATGCCCGGCAGCTGGATGTCGCCCTGCACGGCCTTCACCTTGCCCACGGTCGCGCGGCTGTCGCGGACCTGCGGCGGAGGGGTGGGGACAGCGGCGGGAGGTTGGGCAAGGGGTGCGCGGCCCGATGGCGGGCGGGCGGGATGGGCAGCGCGAGGCCGCTGGACGGCCGCACAGGCATGCCGCCGTTGTCCAGAAAGCGCGCATCTCGGCCGCCTGCACGCGTCTTGGCCGTCCCTGGGCTTGGGCCCAGTGAGTCTGCCGCTGTCACGAGCATACATGTGCCCGTAAGCTTGTGCGCGGCCGCGAGCTCAGGGGCGCGCGCCCGAGCGCGCACCATGTGGAAGAGGCTGCTCTGCAGGAGCGTCCGCACGCGCTCCGAGGGGTCCGCCCCCCGCCGCCCTCGCAGCAGCAGGTACACCGCGCCGACGTCCGTGGTGCGCAGCAGCTGCTCCAGCACCACGCTGCCGATGTAGCCAGAGGCGCCCGTCAGCAGCACGGTGGCCTGTGCGCACGCACGCGCACGAGCATCAATGTGTGTGAGTGTTTTATTTGAGGGAGGGGCGCCAAGGCCGTCGGCAATAGGGGGCAAGAGACTTGCGGGTGACATGGCACTCTGCCGGGGCCCATAATGTGCTGATGAGGCAGAGGCGGCTGGGGCGCTCGCGCCGGCGCGCCCCCTCGGTCGCTCGCGCCGGCGCTACTTCGTCCGCCACTGCCGTCGGGCGGGCTCGGCGGCACGGCTGCACCCCGTGCCTCCTGCGCCGCGCCGCACGTGTGCCCCCTGCTGCCGCCGCATGCGGCATCCGCGTACGATTCCGCCTCTGACCAGGCTGCACGCAGCACACTCACCCCTGAAAACTGGCCCTTAATGGAATAGAACATCTGGTCGTCGTCCAGCGGTCGCTGCAGCCCGAGCCGCGCGCCGCCGGTGCCGTCCCACCCGACCCCTAGCTTTGTTTTCGCCATGACAGGGTCCCGGCCTGTGCGGCGAAGGGGGCGCGCGTGCGGAGCGGCCGCGGCGGCAGGGCACTTGCTGTGAGGCCACTGGAGGGCCGTGCAGGGCGCCCACACGGCATGCGGTGACGCTGGGTGCAGGGAGCGCCGCGGGCTGCCCGGCCCATGTGGGCACCTAACGTCGCTAACTGAACCAAAAGGTCGAAAAACTCCGCGTCGGAGACCTAATGCTGCCCAGGAGCCACCTCTCTCCGTGTCTGTCGCGGGCTGCTCTCGCCTCAAGCCGGGCTGCGCACAGCTGCCCCAGGAACGCGGAGCCAACGACGACGGCGCGGTTTTATGTTGTCTGAAAGCTGGATAAATTGGTCCCAGGAGCGCTGCCAACCCCGCTCGGCGCTCCACTGTCACCGCAGCCTCCTGGGACGCTAGGCGCTCCACGGCCGGCCCTATCGCTCACCAGAAGCAATCAGGACCCTTAAATTTCCTCGTGGCGCCACTCGCGCTGCCCACTGCCCCGCTGCAGGGGCTGTCCTCCTTGAAGTCACCCTCCGGGCGCCAAGCTCTTGCGGCGTCGCTGTTCAGTGGTTTCTTTTACTTTGCTAGCTAATCACCAAGGTGTTACCAACAAATGTTTGAACGGTGCAAACGCGCGCGTGGGAGCTCTCGCGCGTGGGTCACCGCGGCTCTCCCAGGCATCTGCAAGTTAACGTGCTCCCTTTCGCCCCTGGCATAATGAACCAGTTGGATCGCATATTTGGCACGGCCTTGCAACGCGCAACACACCTGGGTTGTCCAGCTGTGTTGCGATGCTTACCTGGAGCGCCGGCGGTCCCAGGCCGAGCTGTTACGCCGAGCGGCATCGCTCTGCTTGCACGCAAGTGCTCGACAAGCTCTGCAGTGCACTTTATGTACGTGTATGGCCTCCGTGTTGTGTGGCCCCCGCTGCCCCCCAAATTGCAGCACTTGGATCGCAAGCGCCTGCGCCCTTGTCAGAAGATTTTTTCACTCTATCCGTCACTGCAATTCAGGCTTGAGCTATGTGGCGCCTGGACAACCTCACACATGCAGCAGCGCCGGGCCAGCTTGAGATGTTCAGCTGCGCGAGGGCTCGTGCAGAGCAGCTGGTCGGTTGCGCGTCACCACCCTGTCCGGCAAGCTTGGCTAACACCCCCCCTCTCCATAGCGCTTCAACGCACCCCTCCCACGCCCGCTGAATATGCCCATTGAATCAGTGCCCAGGTTGCAGCATTTGAATTACAACAGCCCTGTTCCAACACGCTCTGGTCGCTGCAAGGCTGGGCTTCCCTGATGCCGGCTGGAGAGCAGGGTGGTGCCGGCAGCGGCGCGCCGTTGTACGGCCACTCAAATGTGGTCTCACAATGTCTTTGTGATCGTGCATCGGGCGGCGAGCGGCAGCAATAAGGAACCGGCGATATGCCGTCCAGGGACAAGGTTGGGGGGGCACCCAGGAGCGCCCGGGGCAGAGCAAGGACGGCTGCACGACGGCCGCGGCAGCAGCTGCCATGCTTATTGAATGGAGCATTGGGGGGCTCAGGCGATTGTGCGAAAAATGCAATCAATAAGTGACAAGCTGATGCCTGGCAAGCGATCAGCATGCCACTCGTTGCAGCCATCGCAAGGGCGGCTGCTGCGGCCGCAAAACTTTCTACAACAGGACAGAAACATGGCAAACACTGCCAGGGCCCGGGTTCGATTGCAAGCAGGGGCGATGGCGCCCCCTGTCCGCATTGTAGAAACTGCCTGATGATGCCCGTCGTAAATCGCCTCTTGCCTGCCTCGGCAGCAGCCATGGGCAGGATCTGTGCCGCCCAGAACGAGCGGTGTGAAGGAGAATGGGTCAGAGCCTGCGGGCCTGCCGGCGCCTTTAACCAGTGCTGAAGGTGCTTTGCACGTGTGGAGGAGGGCCATTTGCAGCCAACGGGCCGCGGCCTGTAAACAAAGTCAATGTCAGGGAAGCGGAGCAGGAAGACGCCAGAGCATGTTGCACTCAATGCATTGGGCGTACCCCATGTGGCCCCCAGGCTCGACCCCAGGGGTCACTTCGGAAAGTCTTTGCGCGACGCCTTGAAAGGTGCACCAGCTGAGGGAGCAGCTGAGGATTGCATTTCAACAACGATGTAAAGCTGCGCACGAGGGCGCGCTGAGTTGAAGCAGGGTGCCGCCCACGCTCGTGCCGCAGCTGCAAAGAGGTGCAGGCACGGGTTGTGGTGCCTGCAGAAGAGATGCCTCTCTGTCGGTCACCCAACAAAGCCCGCACGTTGGCTGACACCCTAACGTTTGCGGTGCGTGCAGCGCCCTCACCCCCGGCGGTCAGTTGCAAATATGGGTCGCGGCGGTTGGAAAAAGCCGCCCAATGCAGGGCCAGTCGGCTGCAGCAGGGCCTGGCGCTCCGCCAGCCGTGGATGCGAGCGACCAGTCACCACAACTGCACCACCACGGGGAGGGAGAGACGAGCAGGGTCAGGGGGTTTGGGCAGTGGTGCGTGCCGCGGCTGCCAGGCGGGCGCCTGATCCGGATGCCGCGATGAGCTATTACGTGAGACGGGCAGATGAGCAGATGTGGTCTGGACCCGTACATTTGCAGCAACGGCTGCAGGGACCATTCTGAATGTGCAATGACAAGAGGCCCACCTTGAGGCTCGTCGTCCGGCGACATGCTGGGAGTATGCAGCGGCGGCACCCAGGTCTGAGGCAGCAGGCAATGCAGCGCGACCGCGAGGCCAGCCAGTCGGTTGATCTGCAGGCGAGCATGCGAGCATAGGTGGGATGGGCGAAACAGCTAGTGCGCGGCAGTGGGCTAGGCGGCGAGCGTCGCGAATGCACAGCAGCATCCAGCAGAACAGTAGTCGGGGGGCGGGGGGGGGGAGCGCCTAAGGCTGGCATTGAACCCGCACAGCAAGCGTCTCCTCACCCAGGCGGGCAGCGGCCGGCCGACCAGCTGCATGCACAGGTCCGATGCAAAATGGTTGCCTGCATATTGGGGTGGCGATGGACCCACAGCACATCATCAGGCACCAAGCTTTGGCCGTACATGAGGACATCAGGGTGTGTGTCATGAGCACAACTTGCGCAGCACATCACGATGGCCCTGGTGAGGCACTCAAGTGCGGGCGCCCGGTTTCTCCGCGTCGCCCTCACAGTTGGTCTGCAGCAGATGGTAGGCGCTGCCGCGGTAGTGCTGCCCCATGTGCTGCACGAGCGCCTGCACCTGCTGCGGCGTCAGCTCTGTCTCCCCGACGCAGATGCTTTCTCTAAACACAACTGCGTGCGCGACAGGACAACAGCCAGGAAGGGCGAGCGGTGGTGAGGGCCCACACCAAGCAGCAGCAGCGACGCCCTTGTGCAAGCACCTAGCACCATGCCAGGCGCCGCATGCTCCTGCGCCAGGCTGCCTGCGCTCCCAAGGGCAGCCAGGTGGACGGCGGCGCACGAGCGCACCCGCGCCGGGCGCCTCTCGCGGCTTCGTGGCAAAGATCCCGGACACGTCGTACTCGTGGCCGCCGTACGCAAACTCTGTGTCATAAACCTGCACGCCTGTGTGCAGGACGCCAACGCCGCACCACAGCGTCCAAGAGTTGGAGGGCGCGAGGTCGTACACGTTCAGCAGCACAGAGGCGCCCATGGCACTGTGCAGGAGTGCCGAAGTGCTGGCCGCTTGCTCGCCGCCGCCGCCGCAAACAGCAGCTGCTATTGGCTGCGCGGCAACAGGACGGGCACGTAGATTGGATTGGTGGTGGTGTTTCTAGTGTTGTGCATTGCCGTTGCAAGTCAGCAAGTGATGAGCGTCACAGAGGCGTCGAGGGCACGCATCGCATGGCCTGTTGTCAGGCAGTGATCCCATGCGCCACGCGGCTCATGTGCGCGCGCATGTGCATGCGTGCGTCCGTGCTGCGTACGCATGTTCCTAGATAGCTGCCGGCAGCATGAGAGTAGGCAGGGCGCTGCTCCACCAGCTGGCAGTCCCCTCGACAATGGCGCATGCGCGCACGCATGCTCACCTCGGTGAGGCGCACAGCGCGGCAGTGGAAAAAGCGGATAATAAAACCCGCTCTCTCCCAAGCGCTGCCAAGTACTGCACGGCGTCCCCTAGAGCCAGTGGCCCAACGTCGGCGCGAGATGGAACAAATCCAACGGAGAGCGGGCAACGCCCAGTGTGCGTGTGTTGATTTGACTCACAAACAAACCAATCGCTCGGTTCAAGCGCCTCTAATGAATGATGCCGTGCCGTCTGTGTGCAACAACAGGATCGAGCGTGCTGGCGACCTTCTGTAAGAGTTTGGTTTAGATGCGGAGCAGATAGCCCTCGGAGTTGTGAGCTGCTGTCGGCACCCGTCCAAAGTTCGCGCCTTGATTGACGAGTGCCGTCAGCACGAGGGCAAGCATCATCCAGCGGGCTCACGCTGCAGGAGAGCTCGGCGCCATCTACTATTCGCCTAGACTCTAACATTTATTTATAGAACTTATCAGATGCCGACAGATCTCACAGACAGCAGATCACCACGAAAGTCAACAGTGCCCGTATGATGGTCTGACCTAGGAGACAAGGAGGGGCAGAGATGAAGGGGGTCGGCATCAAAGTCAGCCCCGCGGCAGTGGAGCTGCGGGATGTCGAGCCAGGCGTGCCACAACACGGCGCTGTTGTCAGTGTCAAGGTGTGTGTGCTTGGCGCTATGCTTGCTAGCACGGGCGTCGGAGGCTGCGTCTATGGCTTGTACCCTTCCATTTGCCTAAGAGCCCCGGCCGTCGTCAAGCCTGGCCCAAGACTCAATCATTTCTTGGCCAGACACCCTGGCCATCCGCCCGCCGGCGCAGAACCTCGACGGCAAGCGCTCGCACAGCGTGCGCGTCCGACCACCTGCGGGCAGGCGCTTTGCCGTGCACGGCCTACTGCAGACGGAGCGCCTGGCCCCGGGCATGGAGGCGACTTTCGAGGTGTGGTGCCGTGATGCCACGCCGCCACCCTTCAAGGCCCCCAGCCATCCTCGCACACAAACCCATAGCGGCACCTGCACACGTCGCACTGCACTGTTGAGCTTGCGCAACCTCCTGCTTACCGTTGCGCATGCAAGCCCACGCGCATTTGGATGCCCCAGCGCGCACACGCCATGTGTGCACACCCGCACGCCTGCCTGCGGCTCTGCGCAGGTCGTGTTTGATACGCGAGGCCTGGAGCCCGGCTGCGACTCGTTCGACCGGCTTTCAGTGCTGTCGGATGCGGGCGAAACGGAGGTCCCGCTGCGGGCACTGGCTCCAAATCCCCGCCTGCGCCTGCAGAGCGGCGGCGCGAGCGCCTCCAGCAGCGGCGGTACCAGCACCAGTGGCAGTGTGGGGCTGCTTGAGTTTGGGCTGGTGCAGGCTGGCAGCAGCCAACTGCGCCGGCTGCGGCTGGTAAACGAGGGGTCGCGGCCTGCAGACTGGAGGGCGCTTGTGGAAGGGTAAGCTCGCCGTCATCGGCAGCAACCAGTGTTGCCAGTGTTGCTGTTACTGCACTGCTTGGGGCCAGTGCCTCCACCTGGGCAAGCAGCTACTCCGCGCATCAGTGCGCCCGTTCTGCCGAACTTGCGCCGAGCAGGGGCGTGCCTTTGAAGCTGGAGCCGGCTGCTGGGCGCCTGGAGGCCGGGGCTGCGGTCGAATTGGTGGCTGTGCTGGCGGTGCCTGATGCGGGCACCTTGTCTGGAGAGCTCTTGATTCACATGGCCCGGGCACACGGCGGCAGCGACGGCACCGGCAGCATCGGCACCCACGGAGGCGGCGGCAGCACCAACGGGAGCGGCACCGGCAGCAACGGCGGAGGCGGCAACGTGAGCAAGGAAGCAGCTAGCCAGCAGGGCGCTGGCGGTGCGGCTGGCGAGCGACAGTGGGACAAAGAACTGGCGGCGCGTTGCCCAGTCGGAGCGGCGGTGGTCGCGTGCACGTACGAGCTGCGGTCAGAGGGAGGAGGCTGCGTCAAGGCGGTGCGCGGACCTGGGCAATAGCTCGCGCTCAGCGGTGTCGGGGAATGCTGCGGTGCATGCATTGGCGTCCCTGCGAGCGGCTGCATGCATGCATGCCGATACGCAGAGGTTACCTGACTGGAGAACTTTTGCTTTGCTGGGGTGTTGACCGCAGCCTGCGGGTGTGTGATCGCGGCGCGTGGTGTTCTGCCGCCCTCACTGCCGGGCGGGCGTGCCATGCCATGTGATCCAGCAAGCTGCTGCCCTCAATGCTGGCACCTCCTGCACCCAGGTCGACTTTGGAGCTATGTACATGGGGGAGCGCAGCACACGCCAGCTGCTGCTGAACAACGGCGGCCCGTCCGAGGCGCGCTTTGACCTTTCCTTTGGCCCTGCGTCGGAAATGGGAGCCGCAGACGGCTCTGGGCCTGCGGGCAGTGGCGGCGGCGGTAGTGGGGACGACCCGCACACCAGCTTCCTGCGCCTGGCACGTGTGCGGGTGAGGGACAATCCATGTGGTGTCCAACTTAGAGGATGCTCGGCAGGTTGCGCATCGGCCTGATCGCCTGGTGCCGGCTTTGCTGTCAGTGCACGGTTGACCGTTGCTGCTGCTGATCCTGGGTCCCGGTTTTGCCCGCATGCGTTTTGGTGCGTCGATGACCAGGCACCCTGTGACGGCGCCGGCGTCTCGCTCCACTCATCGCGCCTGGCCCTTGCAGGCCAAAGCGCGCGAGGAGGCGGACTCAGCGGTGCGCGTGTCGCCGCTGGCGGGGGCCGTCCCTCCGTACGGCACGGCCCGCCTGGTGGTCTCGTTCCAGCCGCCGCACGCGGCGAGGGCCCAGGGGTTCCAGTCAAAGGAGCTGGGGGAGGACGAGGCCATGCGCGTGTTTGACTACGTGGTGCAGGTGAGGCTGGCGGCTCAACTACATACGCACGGGAGGGCGTCTGCACCCTGCCGCCAGCCGCTCGATCGCCAACCAAGCTCCGTGGTTGGGTGTGTCGACCAATCAGCCAGACTCTGCTGCTTGCTGAATGGTCGGTCTGTGCGCTGCCGCGACATCCCTGCGGCTCTCGTCACCTGCGAGGTCAACATATGTCTGCTCTGTGAGGGTGAGTCCATCCAACCACTGTAGCTGGTTGCATGGCATTCAACAGCCATGCCACCCCCCGCCTCCCAGATCGACCTGACCGGCCCCACAGGCTCGCGGCCCCTTCGCCTCCCCATCCGCGGCCGCGGCCTGCTGCCGCGCCTGCTCCCAACGCCCCGCCTGCTGCACTTTGGGGTCATGGGCTGCGGCGAGTGGGGCGACCAGCTCGTGACGCTGGTCAACGGCTGCGCTGAGCTGCCGCTGCGCGTCGTCGCAGACACAGGCAGCCCCTACTTCAAGGTGTGGCCACCAGGAGCGATGGCAATGCAGTGTAACTCGCAGTCACGGGCCCGTGTTCTTACAAGCATGATGGGCCATGCCAGTGCTGATGCCAGCTGCGTGGCTTGGTTGCTCTGTCTGAGGCGCTGCGCGTGCCGTCTGCAGCCCTAGCTGGGCGCCAGATGGCACCGCCCCCCGCCAACATCGCCCCCGCAGCCAGGCTCACTGCCGCGCGCACTCTCAACGCAGGTCGACCCCCCAGCATTAGTTTTGGGCCCAAGCCAGACCTCGTCAATGGTCGTGCGCTACCTGCCAAAGGCCCTCGGCAGCCACCTGGCGTCAGTTAGCTTCCTGGCAGTTTCCTCCGGCGCCGCCAGCGCGGCGGCGGCCGAGCCCCTGGCACGCGAGGCGGTCGAGGCGGTGGGCAGCTGCCAGGGTGTGCGCGAGCGGGCGGTGCGGCTGCCGGGCGGGACCGAGGCGACGCCGGAGACGTTTGCAAAGCCGAGGTGGGTCCTGTGCGTTGATTACTTCTTCTCTGGACACCTGCAGCTGATGCACAGGGACTTCAATTGGTGAGCAGGCTGATGCTGTTTGGGCTTCAATTTTGTACAGTGCTCACCAGCCGCTGCCACATGCATCACGTACACAGGCGCTTCGTGGATGAGCAGGAGGCGGCACTGTGGACCTTAAAGGCCGAGACCGGACAGCTGCCTGGCAGCTTCTCAAGGCCAAAGGTCTGGGAGACGGCGGCAAACAAGCAGGCGCTCGAGTGGATTGGCCCTGAGGATGGGTATGGCGTCACCAAGGACGTGCAGGCGCGTGTGGACGGGAAATTCGATGCAGCAAAGGCTGGACGACGACCACAAAGTGGCTTGGGCTGCTAGGATTCAGAAGACTGAACCCCATACAGCCGCCTCTCCGGGCCATTCTGGCCGTCAGAAATCGCAGCGCTCCAGTGCTTGCCTCGCTCACGATCCTCTTGGCTTCATCGCTGGCTCAATCGGGATTTGCCTTGTGTGCGCCTCATGCCCCTGCAGGTGTGGCGGTTGCAGCATGCGGACGATTACACCAAGTTCATCAGAGCGGGTGAGCCGCAGGGGCAGCGTGCACATCTGTGCGTGTGAGTGCGTTCGTGCGTGCGTGCGTGTGTGCGTGCGTGCGTGCGTGTGTGCGTGTGTGCGTGTGTGTGTGTGTGTGTGTGTGTGTGTGTGTGTGTGTGTGTGTGTGTGTGTGTGTGTGTGTGTGTGTGTGTCAGCGTGTGTGTGTGTGGTGGGGGGGGGTGGCACGTGCGTGTGTGTGCGATCACGCAATGTTGCATGTTTTTATGCCTAAGCCCATCGCTTAACTGCTCGGCTGATGTGGCGAGTCGCCCATGCTGCCTTTGCTGCCAGGCCGGACCGCAAAGGCGAACGCGCACCTCACCCGGGAGGAGGGCGGCGAGGGCGACAAGGACATGGGCATGAGGCCATACAGGTGGGGTGCCTGCTTGCTGCGCGGCTGGTGGCGCAGTGCGGGACGGGCAGGTTGGTGCGGGGGGAGGGGAGGAGGTGGCCAAGCGGTGCTTGAGCTGGTTGTGAGCACTCTTCGCGAGAGGGAGCCGCCCCTGTTGCTGCCAGCTGGAAACAATCGGGGTGGCTGCAGTCACCCCTGGCTCAGGCGTCCGGAAAGTGTGGAGGCAGTCTGATGCACCTCCGCTGCCACCAAAACTTGTGCCCTTTGCCAGGGGCCTGTGCCCCCCGCGCGTAGGCAGGCCCAAGGGCCCAGATCCTTTGTGGACTGCCAAGCGGGAGCGCGAGGGCGGGCCCAGTGTTGCGCCAAAGGCACCTGCATCGGCTTTGCTCGCAGCACTGCCGCTGTTCAAGGACAAGCCGGAGGGAGACAAGGTGCCGGCTTGGGACTAAGGGCGACAGCAACCCGCTAAACGTGCTTTGTCACTTGTTGCAGCTCACATGTCTGCACCTGCCAGCAGACTGCGGCGCGCCGATTTGCTGCCCTGGTTGTCAAACGCCTGCTGCCCTGGCCGCTGACTGCCTGCTGGTGGGGCAAGCTGGCGTGAAGGCATCCATCTGTTACAAAAACACCACTGGCTGCCGCCTCGCAGGAGCGTGCAGAGTGCTCCATGGAGCTCACCCCTGCTGAGCTGGCGGGCATCCAGGTGTGAGTGTGTGTGTGTGTGGAGGGGTCGAGTTGGGTTGAGTGCGTGGGCGAGTGCGCAACAGGGGGCGTTGCACACCTGGGAGCACCAGGTATGTCAGCACATTTGCATGTGGCAGCGCGTCGGGTTTCTAAGGATTTGCTGCATGTTGATATCAGGCGTTGCCCGCTCGAGTTTGCTGTTCAACAGTAGAGCCTGCGCTCACGACCGCCGACGACAGCACAAAACCAAGGACCCCAAACTCCGACACCCATCCTCCACAGGTCGCCCCCCGCACTGTTGACTTTGGGAAGGTGTCCACGGCCCAGCCGGCGTCCGCGCACTTTGTCGTCACCAACACCCTGCCCCGCGCGCTGCACGTCGCGCTGGACCTCTCTCGCGTCCCCGAGCTGGCCGGCAGCACGCCGCTGGCGCAGGTCGTGCCGCCGGGCGCCACAGCGAAGTTTCCGCTCGCGCTGAGGTGCCACGATGTCCGAGCAATCAGGGAGCGGTGTGAGGTCTGCCTGAATGGCACACACTTTTGGCCTTTGGAGGTGGGCAAGCGGCAGAGAGGCCCTCCCGGGGGGAGAGTGTACGTGTGTGCTGTGCACGTGCATGCATGCACACATGCGTACGCCCGGGCATGCACGCGTTTGCAGACGTATTTGCGCGTATGCCTGCGTATGCGTTCATGCGTGCAAGTGTGTGTAGGCGCGGCCTGATCCCAGATCAGGGGAGGATCCAGCAGTCCCGCCGCCTGGATGCGCGCCCCTAACGCACAGGTGGCGGCCGAGGTGGTGCCGGTGACGCTGCGGCTGTCGGCGGATGAGCTCAACTTCTCATTTGGCATTGACAACTGGGAGAATTTTGTGGACCAGGTGCGGGCTTCGTTGCAAACCGCCTGCGTGCAGCAGCGCCGCCGAGCGCGTGCCACGCAGCACATCCGCACCCGCCGACGGGCTCGTACCTAGCGCACAGATGGCCTCGCTCCCAGGGACAGCTGGGGTTGACGCATACAATCACCCTGTCCCGGGAGTTGGAGGCTGAACGCTCGCAGGCGTTGGAGCGTGCCCCTTACACGTCCGCGGCCATGCCACGGCCCGCATCGCGCCGCAGTCGCTGCTGATGACCAACCCTCACAGCTTCCCAGTCGACTACGAATGGGAGAGCAGCGGCGCGGCGTTCTCGGTGACCCCTCCCAGCGGCTCCATTAAACCCAAGGGCACCGCCGAGGCGGCCGTGCGGTGGCGCCCCGCCGCCGACGGCGGCAAGGGGGGCGCAGAGGGCAAGGGCGGAAAGAGCAGCGGCGCGGCCGCGAATAAGGCGCCCAAGACGCCGGGGGATAAGGCCGGGGCCAAGGCTGCCCCGCCCGCCGCCGCCGCAGCCGCCGGGCCGGCGCCCGGTGGCAAGGGCACCGCATCCCCCGACGTGGCGGCGGCAGCGGTGGCGGGGGACGAAGGGCTGATGCAGACGGCCGTCATGACGCTGCGGCTGAAGGGGGGCGCGGACGTGCCCCAGCGCGTCGCGCTGGTGGGGGAGCTGCCCGGCGGCTGCCTGCGCCTCAAGGAGAAGGAGCTGGCGCTGGGCGCGGTGCCCGTGGGGGAGCGGCAGGCGGCGGTCGTCACGCTGCGCAACAGCGGCACGAGAGAAGCGGCGTTCCGGGTGCGGGCGAGCAGGCTGCAGTGATCTGTCTGCCGCGTGCGGCGTGGCACCCACGCAGCCTGCTTTGATCTGTTGTGCGGGCCCTGGGGGTGGCGCTGGCAGCGACACACAGAGGCATTCTCACTGACAGTCTCGATGGCCGTCTTGCCGTTCGAGTTTGGAGCTGACGGCCACATACCCTCGCCTTGGAACTGGCTTGATTGAAAATTTGTGCCCCAGGTCGTCCCCAACCCGCGTGTCAGCGTGACGCCCGACCGCGCGCGCTGCCCGCCGGAGAGCTCCCTAGAGCTGGAGGTGTCTGTCACAGTGGAGGCGCCCGGTGCGTGGGCGGCGGCGCTAGAGCTCGAAGTGCGGGGCGGCCGGCCCATCAAGCTGCCTGTCAGGTGCGCTGACTCACTGGTTAGATGTTGGGTGCCGGGTGGTGGACGCCTTGCCGGTGCCCAGTGATGGGCCAAGGTACTGGCTGGTACGCTGGGGGCCCCAAAGGAGACTTGTTGTTGGGTGGTGCGCAGGGGCGCAGGCGCAGCGGCTTGCCAGCCCTGGGGCTCTTGCAGCACTGTAAAAGGCCCAAACATCGAGAAGGGCCTGCCTCCAATGCAGCGGCCTCGTTGCGCCCGAGCCCCCCCGGCTTCCATCCACCGCGCAGGGCCGAGGGCGTCGTGCCGAGCGTGCAGGTGGCCGAGGCGTCCCTGGCGTTCCCGCCCACCTTCATCGGCGGCACGGCCCGGCTGCCGCTCACGCTGTCCAACGCGTCCGCGGTGCCGGCCACGCTTGTGGCGAACCTTACGGCGCTGCCGGACTTCGACATGCTGCTGCCGCGTGAGCAAGGGAAAAGGCAGGGGGGAGTTACGCAAGCAGGCATGGCAGATACCAATATGTCCCCCGCAAAAATGCAGGATTGACTCAGAGGGGTGCGCTAAGCGACCGTGGTGGTTAGTCTGCTGGTATGGAGCGGTCGGGCGTGGCGTGTGAGTTGTATTGGGATTGTTTATGCCAGCCCGATACCGTGACTGCACGCGGTGCACGGAGGAGGGCTCAGGGCTACAGCCGCTGGCGTGTGTGCAGTCTCGACATCCACGCTCCCACCCCGATTTGCGGGCCCCTTGCAACTGCAGGTGAGGCGTGGGCGTCTGCGGGCTACGAGAGCTGCCCTGTGCAGAAGATCGGGGCCAACGGGGAGATGAGCACCCTGGGCAGCAAGAGGGTGTCCCGCAGGTGAGCAAAGGAGCACGCTGACGCACAGGGTGGGGTGGGCCCGGCGCTGGATGCAGCGCTGCATTCGAGATTTCCTGGCAACTGCGCAAGGCTGTGTTGCCTGTGTACACGTGTGCTAGCACAATCACTGCACGCACACGCGCACACGCGCACTAACACACACACGCGCGCGCACACACACACACACGCACACACGCACACTCGCACGCACACAGTCAAGATGGGCACGGTAAATTACTCCTACATTGCCCTTGCCCTCCTTGAAGGATCTCCTCTGTTGACAACCGCCGCGTGCCTCGACCCGGGGAGACCGGCCACAAGTTCATCATCCACCTGCGCCCGTCCAGCTCCCTCGCAATGGCCCTCGCCTTCCGCCCCAGCCGGACCGGGCCCTATGACTTCCAGCTCCCCCTCGCCTTGCACTCGGCCCCACTCACCGCCCCACCGGGCGACGGCGAGACGCATGAAGAAATCGGCGCCAGTGCTGGCGGCGCGCCCGCGCCGGCGGTCGCGGTGTTTGCGACCGGCGTGCAGCCGCAGGTTGTGCTGTCCAAGGGGACCTTGGACTTTGGGGCGTGCGTCGTCGGGCGCTCCGGCGGGTCGCGGAGGGCGAGCCCGTACGCGGTAGAGGTGTACGTCAGGAACAACACAGAGGGCGAGATCCAGGTGGGCGGCGCGTTTGAGGGTGAGGGCGGACATTCAAGGGTGCATTGGTACGGGCAGCCGAGCACTCCGTCGTGACTGCGCATCGACCAAGTTGTCAATGTCTGAAATGATCTGGCGAGTGCGGCGCGCCCTGATGTGCCAACGCGGCGCATCAGGGTGGGCGGCACATTGACAGGCGCATGCATGTTGAGCAAAATGAGCGCTCACTGCTGACGAGACACACGCGCCGCACGCAGAGCGACAGACCCCACCAAATAAACAAAGATCCACCCACAAACGCCTGCAACAGGTGTCGCTCGGTGACCCCAGCTCAGAGCGGCAGCCCGGCTGCCTGGGCGTGTTTGCGCTGGAGCAGCCGTGCGCGTTCACGCTGGCGCCGGAGGAGGGCGCGGGCGTCACTGTCCGGTTCACACCAAGGGACGCCAGGTGTGGGCGCAAAGTGAATGGCCTGTCGGCATGCGCCCTGCCAAAGCCGGCGTTGACGCGCGCGCGGCCGCAGACCACACCCATCCGCGCTGACCCTGCCGACGCCCTGGTGCGCGCCAGGGCCTACGAGGCGTCCGTCCCAGTGTTCATCCACGGCGACACATCCAAGCCCCACCTGAGCCTCGAGCTGGCCGGCACGGGGCGCTTCCCACGCCTCACCTTTGACTCTCCGGAGGTCCTGCTGCCGCCGGTGGGCACCTCATCCCTGTTGCTGCTCCAGCGATGGCTTGCCCTTGGCGCTGAAACTGCTGGGCCCTCAACGGCTGCACGCGTGCTCGCATGCCAGCACGACAGCACTCGCACACCCGTGCCCTTTCAAGGGTGCCTCCAACTGTCGCTGCCCCCTGCGCAAACGGCCCGCTGGGGCAGGTACCGCTGGGCGTGCGGTCATGGGCGCGCTTCTTTGTCGTCAACGATGGATACGACAGCCTCGAGCTCAAGACCAGGTCGGGTCTGGCGGATGGCTGCTCTGTGCATAATCCTCCGGCCTTCTGCTGGCGACCACACACCCTTGCTTTTGGCGCTCTCTGCTTGGGCTGCATGTGCATCTCGCATGCCGGTATGGGGCACGCCGCCTGTGTGTTCCTCTTGACCCCGCTGTACCCGCCTTACTTTGTTTCCTGCCCACCAGGCTGCCCGCCGACGAGGCGCGGCAGCCGCTGAAGCTGGAGCTGCCGGAGGGCAACCTGATCGGGCTGGCCAAGGAGAGGCTGCCCGTGGTGGTGTCGTTTGCGAGTGGCCGCCCCCTGAGCTTCACCGCCCTCGTGGAGTTCCTGGATGAGGTGGGTAGGACAGATGAGGGGTTTCAAAGGGACGTGCTGGTTGTACATCCACACACCAAACTCCAGTCGGGTACAAAGGGGGAGGCTTGGCGGCTGCAACCGCAGCTTGGGGTGGAATCTGGGGTGGGTAAGGAGAGACAAAGGCGCTTTTGCAGGGTGCAATGCCGCATGCGACCCAGCGTTGCCCGCACAGCGCCGGGGCTGACATTCGTACCTTGGTATCTCCCACAAACGCCATTTCGCGGTCCCCGCGCCGCAGTCGGGGCGCTGCTTTGCGCAGACCGTCACCGGCACCACAGACAACTGCCTTCTGACAACACAGCCGTTCTTCGAGGTGACGCCGGGTGACGGGCGCTCCGTTACTGTGTTGCTGTGTCACCGCAGCACCTTTTCAGCAACCCGCCTGCAACACTTGTACTGCACGCACCCACACATCGCACAAGCCAGCGAGCAGCTACGTCAGCAAGGCGTCGATTGCTCCCGGCCCCGCGTGTACCTCCCCCCCCTCCGACCCTGTTTGCCAACAGGTTAACGCGGGCCGCCTGCTGCTGACCGCGCCGCGCTGCGGGCCGCCCGCGCTGCCCCTGGATGCGTCAGCGGACGCCTGCGAGATGCCCTGGGAGGACGCGCTCGGCCCGATGCACTGCTCCCAGGTGCGCGCTCTGGGCCGCCTGGCTGGCTCCGTGTCACACCACGCTGTCTCAAGTGCCTGCAGCCAAGAAATGACACCAAGTTGTGATCCAAGCCCGGGCTCATCCGCATGTCTGGCGCCGGCACGCCCCTTTCTGTTACGGGCCGCGCACACATGTCTTGGCACACCGCATCCACTCCGCCTTCCCCTGCTTTGAACAAAGTCAACGCCACCTCCCCGCGGCACGAGCGCAGGCGCTGGCGCGCCACCTGTCCGCCATTACGTGCAAGCCCTGGCCGGGCGACCTGCGCAAGGCGCTGGCCGGCTCCAGAGGGAAGCTGCTGCTGGAGCTCATCGAGACGCTGGGGAGCAAGGCTGTCAGCGTGAAGGTGTGGGTGTTGACCTGGATGGCGGGCGTGTCATGCAGGGATATGAGATTGACCGTTAAGAGGGGTGTCAGCTGCATGCAAATAAAATTGCATTGCGGACTGCCGTGCAAGCGGGTTTTATTATACAATGTGCCTTCTGAGGGGCGCCCTAGCTAGCCTGTTGCACAACCTGCTTGCGCTGCAGTAAACAGCGACGCGGCGCATGATCCACCACACTCGTCCTGCAGGGCTCAAAAGGGGGCGGGGCTGGTGGCGCCAACAAGACCGAAGCTGCGCGGCAGCTGGTGGCGCTGTACGAGGCGGCGCTGGCCCACCTGCGGGTCCAGGGCGCCCTGGTCAACGCGGTCAAACCAGAGCTGCTGCTGGAGGGCCCCGACTTTGACCGGCTGTCAGAGGCGCGCGGCGCGGCGGCGGCGGGGGACGCGGCGGCGGAGGAGGCGCTGGAGGCCGCGTGGGGCGACATGGAGGCGCGCTTTGACGAGCTCGCGGCGCGGGCATGGAGCACGGTGCTGCTGCAAGTACGTGTGGGCGAGGGGCGCCCTCCCAGCGGTCCCCTGCAGGCACTTCTGCTGATACAAGCACGCGCATGCTGGTTTTGCAAAATTTCTTGGAGCGCTGTGTCCCTCCTGGCGGGCGCGCTGCCGTTCACGCTGATCTGGTTGTGACTAGCGTGAGTGTCCTGCGCAGTCCACACATCCCCACACAATTCTACGCCGTCCATGACAAGCTGCCTGCGCCCAACCGCCAGATTTTCAGGGTTTACGTGCTGGCCAAGGTGACCCCTCAGGCCCTGCGCTCGATGCCTGGAATGGAGAAGGCCACCGCCGCCGCGGCCGCGCTCCAGGCACGCACCGCCGCCGCAGCAGCAGCAGCAGCCTCTGCCGCCAGCGCGGCAGGAGGTGGCAAGCCTGCGCGCGGCCCTGCCGCTCCGCAGGCGCAGCAGGGCGCCCCGGCGGCCGCGGTGCGCTCGACCGGTGCAGCCAGCCGCGCACGCTCTGCCTCGACCGCCGCTGGGGCCGCCCCCGCTGCCACTGCCACGCTTGAGCCGCCGATTGAGCTGGGGCCCGGCGACATTCCCGGGGACGAGGTGCTGGGCGGCAGCAACGTCTACAGCACTGCGGAGGCGTGCCTGCTGGCCTGGCTCAACATCAACCTCGCGCGCACGTTCCCCGAGAGGGTGGGTGCTTTCCCCGTCTGCTGGGAGGTTCAAATCAGGGGCCTGTGTGTGTACGTGCGTGCGTGCGTGCGTGCGTGCATGTCTTTGTGCGTGTGTGGTCAGTGCCTCAAACCACTTCACCCGCAGCACGCGCACTCTTGCTTGGTACCATTACACTCCTCCGGCGGCCACGCGTTCCCAAGCGCTCCATATGCACCAGCACAGATCTATCTAGACCCCACCACCCCCTTGCGATCACAACGGCAGTCTGAGGGCATCTCAAACCTGGACTCTGACCTCCGCAACGGCGTCGCCCTCTTCGCCTGCCTCGCCAACGCCTGGCCCCGCTTCGCGCCGCGCCGCGCGTTGGTGCGGGTGCGGCCGGCAGGGGCGCAGGAGGCGCGGCAGAACGCAGAGCTGGTGGTGTGGTGCCTGGAGGTGGGTGTGCAGATGCTTGCTGGCTGAGACTGGCCGACGATGCCGACTCTGCAATGCCGGCGAGCTCTGAGCTGCTGGATCAGAGCGTATTGATAAGGTTGAGTCGTACCAGTATGTCCTGCGCGACCTACACCCAAAACGACGTCATCCCCCTGCTGCTCCTTGTAAGACCCTCAAAATCCCCTTCGCCTCAAGACCTGACAGACTTCAGGTCACAGTAGCACCTTGCTCTCCCGCCATCCCTTGTTCGTATGAACACTGCGCAACCCACAGGACCTGTCCCTGCCCTACGAGGTGTCAGTGGCTGACCTGGTGTCACCAGAGGCGGGTGACCTGATGCTGCTGGCGACCTACCTGTTCCAGGTGTGCAGGCGCCGGCGTGACCCCTGCTGCCACGAAGGCAACCTTGCCAGGCCGCATGCGCGTCGTAGGCGGGAGGTGTACACTTGGTTTTGAACGTGGTGGTGAGAGGTCAGCATTGCACGCATGGCGTCACCAGGTGGGCTGAATAATTGACTTTACACGTGCATGCTGCTGTATGCATGACCCCCGGCCCAACGACGCGCAGACGCTGCCGCAGCTGGCCCCCAAGTCAACAGTGGAGTTCCTCAGCAAGCTCAACGAGCCGCAGGTGCGGCCTCCGAGGGTGCTGGAAGGAGGCATGTGCGTTGCCTTACTGACAGCGCCCCCTCCGCCTGCCTCGTTCCTGACCTGCTGGATGGCGCATGTGCAGAAAAGCCATCTACAGAAACGCCATCAGCACAGCTTGCCCCAGGGCCTGGCTGACTGGGACAACAGGGGAACAAGAAAACATCTCACAACAGCTGTTGTATGTGTCCGCGGATGGGTTCTCACTCTCTGATGCATGCCTCGCCCCACAATCCGTCCCCCTCTTGGCGCCCGCCGTGCGGCGCCCCTCCAATCACCCCAGTTGCGCGAGGTGGAGCTGTCAAACCCCGGCCGCCGCCTGATGTCCTACTCCGCGCGGCTGGAGGGGCACCCGGACTTTGCGCTCGAGGTGTCGAGCATCAAGATAGAGCCCGGCAAAACGGCGCGGCTGGGCGTTAGGTGGGGGCAGAGGGCGTCGTGCGTGCGGAGCATTTTGCGAATGCAGTACGGGTCGACGCTGATGCAGCTCGTTGCCCAGCTGATGAGGTCTTGGCTTGTTGGAATAATGCATGTGTGTGTTTGCTCACGCACAGGCCTCTAACCTCCCATCCAACCCAACTCTTGTAAGCCCCCTCAAACCAACCCTCTGCCGCCCCAACCCAATTTGATAAGATGACTTGAACCTTAGCCGACCAGGCCTACCATTTGAAATGTAGCTCAACGCGTGCAACCCTCCACCTCCCAGGTGCACTCCCACCACGGCCGTCCCCCGCGAGGCGCTGCTCGTGCTGCTGCCCCGCCGCGACGGCAGCGCGCCCGCCGCCGCGATGGTGTTCCAGCTGCGCGGGGCGGCGCGGGCGCGGGCGCCGCTCAAGAGGGTGGAGGTGGCGGGGCCCTTGTACGAGATGGCGCAGTTTGACGTACACGTGGTGAACCCCTTCCCTGCGGGTGAGGGGAGAGTTTCGGGGTGGGTGGCAGCGGGGGCCGATTGCCGGGACGCCATGGCACATGTGCTTTGTCTGTCCATTTGCACACCGCGTCGCTCGCACGCAGCAAGAGCATTGCATCGCCATCGCGCTGCTGCTGGTGGCGGTGCTGTCAGGGAGCATCCAGACCGGCGGGCACCGAAGCGGTTGCACTTTGGACTGAGGCACGCTTGCACTGCACATCAACATAGTGCACCCAGTTGATGAGAGGGTGTACGTACGCCACGCCATACACGTGTCATCCCCCGCAGACTGCGACTTCACTGTGACAGTGCTGCACGAGCTGCCAGAGGACGACCCCGCAGCCGCAGCTGCCCAGCAGCCGCTGCGAAGCGGCGCCAAGGGCCGCGGCAGCGGCGGCGATGCCGCCTCAAAACCTGCACCAGGCGGCCCTGCGCCCGCAACCGGCGGCTTGAAGGGCAACCAGCAACAGCAGCAGGCCGCGGGCAAGGCGTTCGCCGACCCCTTCGGCATCGACCGGCCCCGCCTGCGGCTGCGCGCCGGCGCCGGCGAGAAGCTGAGGGGCAGCTTCCTCCCGTTCGCCCTGGGCCAGAGCCGCGCGATCCTGGTGCTGAAGGACGCAGAGTGCGGGGAGTTTTGCTACGAGCTGCGCGGCGAGGCGGGGCCGCCAGCGGCATTCATGGAACACAAGGCGGTCGCGGCGCAGGACGGCGGCGCCCAGGTGCGGAGATGGGGCCGGGGTCGATAGTAACGGTTTGCACCTCCAGCGAACCGGGGCTTGTGCATGGTGTCGCAGGCGGCAATCGATACACGAACTCTTCCCAGAGTCTGCCGCCCGTCTTGCTCCAAGCACCGGTCCCCTGTTCAGCGCACGCGTCAGCAGCTCGCGGCCGCCCCCGCCACTCGCCCCTCGTCGCTGACATCACGCGACGTTGCACCTCCGGCGGCGCACCACGCAGTTTGTGGACGTCCCCCTGCCCTTTGTGAACCAGCAGCTTGAGGCGGCGCGGCGCACATACATGGAAAAGCACCCCCTGGGCCGTGACAAGGACCAGCTGGCTCGCCTGAGGCAGGAGCCGGGCAAGCCGCTGACGTCGCCCGCCCCCGGCGGCACGCCAGCCCCTCAGCCGGCTGCTGCTGCTGCTGCTGCGTCGGCGGCGGCGGCGGCCCAGCAGCAGGGTGCTGACGCGGCGGCGGGCGCGGGGGGCGTGAAGGCCGAGCGGGTCGTTGAGTATGCGGTCGCAAGCAGCAGCGCCCTGGTGTCTGCGCCCGCGGCGCTCGCGCTGCGCTCAGGCGCGGATGCGCAGCCAGGGGCCGACAGGGGCCAGCCCGCCGCCGGCGGCGGCCAGAAGGCGCAGAAGGGCGGGGCCGCCGGCGGCGGTGCCGCCGGGCGGCCGGGCGCCGGCCCGCCACCCAACACGCTGCGGCTGAGCGTGAGGCCGTCAGGGACGGGCCTGTACCCGGCGCGGGTGACGCTCAGCAGCCCGGGTGACGTCAGGGTTTTGGCCGTCGAGATCAGCGCGCAGTGCCTGGGGCAGAGCTACGCCCTGGAGCTGGAGTGCCCCGCGCGGCAGCAGGTGCGCATGCTGTTGCAGGGCCCGCTGCGCGCTGCATGGGGCTGCAGGGGGTCCAGCTCGTGCATGGTATGCGCGCGCGGCGCCAGCAAAAACGCGGCGGGGCCATGACCCAAGGGCCTGGCGAGTTGTGCAAACACTCGCAAGGGCGAAGATGCCGTTGCAGCCCCCAGCTCACACCCCACCCAACTCAAAACTCCCTCCCCTATCCTACCCCCCCAGGCGTCCCAAGAGATCCCCCTGGTCAACGCAAGCGACAGCGGGCTGTCCGTCCAGGCTACGCTTGTGACCACCAGCGGGCCCGGCGGCGACAAGGTGCCGCAGGTCTTCTCAGGTGAGCGTGCAGGGGGGGTCCGAGGTGCGTTCATACGCCTGTCTGCGCTGACAACCTAGACTTGGGACCCCATTTTGTGAATTTTTTGGGGGGGGGGGGGTGGGGTTGCATGCGGGGCAACAGTCAGGCATCACCACAAAATTGTAGAGTCGTTATGGAGCCTGTGCATGGCATGCCTGTGCCGCCCCATAATCGACCAATTAGTTGGCGCAACAAACAGCAACGTCGGGCGCGTTGCAGCATTGGAAGACCCGCCCAGCGCCGAGGCTCAAGTGCGAGGACGAATCAGGGGTGCCATCACTCCCGCCACCCCTCTCCGTTGCCGTCCCCGCACCCGCGTGCTCCGCAGGCCCGCGCGATGCCAGCGTCCCGGCCGGCGCCACCGCGCCCTACCCCCTGACCTTCCGCCCGCTCGCGCCCGGCACCTACAGCGGCCGCCTGGAGCTCTTCTTCCCGGCGACCGGGGAGAGGTGGGTTGCAGCTGGCGTGCCCTGCTGTGCCGCTTTCTTTTCTGCCTGCCGCCAATAAAGCCTGAGGAGGGGCTTGTTGGGTGCTGCCTCGCGCCCCGCGTGATCAACGGACATGGATATACATGGGCTCATTTCGTTCCACCGCCCTCCCACCTCGGCTGCGGCGCGTCAGCCAACTTGCTCATACCCCTCTGCGCTACCGAGGTGCGCGCTGACCCGTCCGCCGCGCCCCGGCCCCACTGCGCGCGCGCGGCGCCCTCGACCCCCCCCCTCCCAGGAATGTGTACAGCCTGACGGGCCGCTCAGGGGAGCCACTGGAGGAGGGCCACCTGCTGGTGGAGTGCACGGTGAGGGCAAAACCATGCAAGATGCACCATTGAGGCCGCTGACCCACACGACAGGGGGCAAATACAAAGCCGCAGCCTTGCACTCGCTCGCCAGCGGGTTGGGGGGGGGGGCAGCCTCCCGGGTTCAGCGGCGCTCGGGTGGCTTCACGGCTGCGCTCGTCCCGGCGAAGCCTGCCGCCACAGCCTTCATCAAGCTCTGAGAGCACAAGAACGCATGCGCGCCTGCGCCTCGTCGAACGGTCCCACACACCCTGCTGAGCCTCAAACCTCCGCCGCCGCCGGCGTCGCCCCGCAGGCGCGCGTCCCCGTCCAGCGGCGGCTGCAGGTGCCCAACCTCCTGGGGGCGCTGCCCCTGACCTACTCGGTGCTCTGCGACCTCGACTGCCTCGAGGGACCAGAGGTGCTGCAGTGCACAAGCACCAGGTCAGGCCGCGCTGACTGGGCCGCCCGCGCGCCGCGCCGAAAGCAGCCCCCTGCGCCGACCGGGCCGTCGGGCAACGCCCTCGCGCTCCTGCGCCTGCGGGCACTCAACACGCCGGTTCGCGCCCCCCACCCTCCCTGAAATAAGCCGCCCCACTCTCCGTCCCTGCTGCCCGCCGCGACTGCCACGCCGCTCGTCAGTCTATTTGTGCAATTCGCATTCATCACGCATCCTTGACGAGCCCCCCACCCTCCCCTCCCTCATCCCGCCAGGTCCCCCGAGAACTACAAGTTCAGCGTCACCCCCCTGCGCAGCGGCACCTTCATGGGCACACTCAGCTTCGTGGCGCCAGACGGCAACTACGCCTGGTTCGGCATCGAGGTGCGCGGCGCGGATCTTGGCCGGCCTCCTCCCTTTGTTGTCTTTGCCCCGTGACGAGTGCAAAGCAGAGAGTGAGCCGGCGCCTGCCCCTTGGGGTTGGCGGCGCTGCAACCAGCGGCCTCGGATATGTGTGCGATACCTGGCAGGCCGCCCGCGCACACTGACGCCGTGTCAAAATCGCCGCAGCGCCAGGGCCTGCCTCCCTGCAGCTCGGCACGGTGTGCTCCACGCTCGACACAGCGTGACCACGGAGCCGACTGATCCACGCCGCAAATTACTATTGCTGTCGCCGCGCTCCCCCTGCCCACCCTTACTCCACCGCGACCATGCAATGGCGCCTGATTGCTGGCATATGATGCAGCAGATGCAGAATGAAGAGAAAGCTTACAAGTTGCTTGATTTTGATTTTCTTGGTGGCTCTGTGTTTGCTG